CCTGAATTAGAACTTGAGACCCCTGGATTACCCTCAACCTGGTTTAGCCTGTCTGCTGAAACAGTGTCCCAGGTATGGCCACTGTGCATGTTACAGCTTCTTGGAGCCACAGATGAGTTAGGTGTGGACACCAAAGGTGGAAAGCAACCCTGAAATTTCCTTGAACACACCTTACACCCCTACACCAACAAACCTGTTGGTGAGTTAATGAGGTGTCTACCTCAAGCATGTGAAAACTTCACCTGGTGAAATGGGTGAATGAGGACAATATCTTCCAATGGCCATGAAGGCAGCTGAAGCAGGTGTTGTGGAGTGTTTAGAGCTTGATTAGATAGTGAAGATGCCAAGGTCATCCACTGCATCTTGAGCCATCACCAATGGTCTTGATTCTGTCCTGCCACTGAACTGTAATGATTCTGGAGGAGAGAGTAAGGCTGATAACTTTGTGTAATTCTGCCTCACTTAAATCCAATTTATGCATGAATCAAAAGACACAAACAAAGAATCAGAATAGTGGTTATATGATCAAAGAGAAGGAAATAGCCAGGATAACCATAACACCATTATCATTCACCTTAAGGCTTACAAAAGTTGACTTTTGCTCCTCACTATTTACACTTACCACTACCACTGCCAAAGAAAGGGCTGCTTTTCTTTGGCACCTTCTTTAAATTAGTTGTTTTCTTTGTGATTAATTAAAAACACAGTAGGGTTAAAAGTAACTTAACGGGAAATATTTTTTTTTCTCATGCAATAGCTAGAATCGAGATAATAATAGACCAGGAGGAGCCACTCTTTGGCCTGAAAAACAGGCAGCAAAAACAGCCAAGGAAAACAAACAGGGGACTGTTCTCAGACACAAGGATTTTTCCCACCTCGAAGACGACAGTCTGGAAGCATTCAGGAAAAACCTTGAAAATTAACCAACCTTCCTTATATAGAAATACCGTCCGTTATGGGAATTTACTGGTGCAGTTCCTATATTGTAGAGGTATCCATTACTTTATGCAGTCCGGTAGAACTGAAGCATGAAGAGGAAGTCTCAAGATAAGTGCCTGCCAGGGAGAAAGAAAGGAAGATCATTAAAATGGTGAAACTGAGAATCATTAGGAAGCTTTAAAAAAAAAGGGTATTGGGGGAATTCCAACATTTTACAGTATCAGAGAAGAGATAAAGAGAAGCTACATGCCACGTGATAAGTGAATGGCAGCCCAGTTCACTTTTTGTGTGTCATTTTCCTTGTAATTCCCTTTCTATGCTGGACAAATAATTCATTTCCTATTATAAACCACCGCAAAGATTCAAAAATCGATTTTCCCTAAGAGACAGTGAACCATCAGAAGGCAAGTGACAGTTCTACTTTCACCAGTAGCAAGAAATGATGAACACAAACTACTATGTTGTCACTATTTGCAGGAATATGGTTAGAGAAGGTAGCTGGCATCACCACATTCATTCATTCATTCACTCATTCATTTATTCACAAGAACTTAGCTAAGCATCTACTGTGTGCCAGGCACTGTACTAGATACTAGAACTACCAAGTCAAAAAACAAAGCAGTATCTGCCACCAAGGACTTTGTATTCTATTAGAGGAAACAATGTGTACCTATGTGTCACTGAGGTCTAGATAATGAGGGTCCCAGTCCTTTGAGAATATATCATCTGGTCTGCCTGGGGCCAACCCACATTGGATATCTGGGGAATCTGGAACCTCACTGGGCAGTCTTCCCATTAAACACATGTGTGTGTGTGTGTGTGTATATATATATAATGTATATATATGTATATATATATAATGTATATATATGTATATAATTATGTATGTATTTGCATATTTCATGGACAGCTAGGTGGCCCAGTGGATAAAGTGCTGGTCCTGAAGTCAGGAAGACTCATTGTAAATTCAAATCTAGCCTCAAATTAGCTGTGTGACCCTAGGCAAGTCACTTAACCCTGTTTGCTTGAGTTTCCTTATCTGCAAAATAAACTGGAGAAGGAAATGACAAACCACTCCAATATCTTTGCCAAGCAAATCCCAAATGGTGACATGAAGAGTTGGACACAATTGAAATGACTGAGCAACAAATTTATGTATTTCACATGTAAATAAAAGACAGGCTGGCACAGTATCTAGAGCATCAAAGTAAAAAAGACCTGAGTTCCAGTCCTACCTATGACACATCCTGGCTGTGTGATCTGAGGTATGGCATTTAACTTCTTTGTACTCCAGGACTATATAGGTTGCAGACAAGGTGCTGACAGAAGTTTTCTCAACTGGGTGAATGAAATTGCAAGCCTACTTCTTACCTCTTTGTAAACAAACATTCACTGAATACTCCCTGTGTGAAAGGCCTGAGCTAGACACTAGGTATACAAAGATAAAATGAAAAACAGTCCCTGCCCTCAAGGAGCTTATATTCTACTGAGGAATAAAACATTTAAACAGAAAAATAAATCCAAGGCTTCTCCTGAAAAGGGGCACATAGGTTGGGGCTTGAAGGAAGCTAAATATCATCACTGATGGAAAGATGGGGTCATTTTCACCTTCTTCCCTTGAAGGAGTGAACAGAAACACCAGAACAACTGGGAGTTAATGTTAAATCGGAAACTATTCGTTCCATCCTAGATTTTCTACCAATTCAAGTTAGGCCTTACTGGTTCAGGGAACTCTTCTGACCTTAGATTTTGGTCAAATTTAATGACCACTTTCCTTCCTTTTGGGAAACATAAGTTTTGAATAGGTGATTTATAGGTTCAAGCAGCATCTACCCTGGCAAATAGGGCAACAACATCTAATACTAAATCCAAGTCCATATAAAAGTCATCCCTGAATGATTCATGATCTCTATACATATAATCTCCTACTCTCAAAATTCCTTTTTCTTTTAACTTCTCCTCACAATGATTACTTTCTATCCACCATAGCCCCTGCTGCTCCATGGTGCCCTCTGCTGTAACCTAATAGCTAATGCAGCTGATACTTTAAGGTTCCCTCATTACAAAAAGTACCATAGGATAATTCGTAGGTTTGCAGCTGGAAAGGAGCTTAAAGGCCAGCTGGTCTCACTTTCTACTTTTATAGATGAGAGTAGGAGGACCAGAGAGGTTAACGATTTTTTGAAGGTCACATAGGTTTATAGGATCATAGATTAAGAGCTAGAAGAGACTGCAGATTGCATCTAATCCATCCCCTTTAGTTTTATAGATAAGGAAACTGAGGCTCAGAGATATCAAGTAACTTGCTCAAGGTCACATAGGTAGTAAGAAGCAGAGCCAAGATTTGAGCCAAGACCCTCTCATTCTATAACTACTGTTTTTTTTTTTCCTTAGGGTCACCTAGCCCAGGCACCAAGAAAGACACCTGAGATCTTGAGAAACCATTCCTGATTTAATCACTGAGCTCTGAACATAGCCCTCTCCTAGCTCCCTATACCTGTATTGTCTAAATTAGGAATGAGACAAAGGGGAAAGAATAGACATCTACCCATTAGAAAGATAGAAAATATTTATAGTAGCTCTCTTTGGGGTGACAAAGAACTGGAAATTGCAGGGATGCCCATCAATTGGGGAATATGATTGTGACGGAGTACTACTGTGCTATGAGATGATGAACTCAGTGATTTTAGAAAAACATGGAACTATTTGCAGGAAATAATGAAGAGTAAAATGAGTAGAATCAAGAGAACATTGTATACAATAACAGCAATATTGTTTTAAGAATGATTTTGAGTGAATAAGTTATTTTTACTATTATAAATGCCTAAATTAACTATAAGGACATATGAAGAAAAATGCTATCTGCATCCAGAGAAAGGACTGATAAATAGAAGTATGTACAGAATAATTTTACACACACACACACACATCCCTATTTGTGTCTAATAGTAGCCCTCTGTGGGGAGAGGGAAGAAAAATAGAAATTTACACGATAATTTTATTGTATATTTGAAAAGAATGGCAAGTTGTGCATAGTTTTGTACTTTCATGTGGAATCACCTTTTTTTTATTGTACTATGTTATGGAAATGCTTGTTTTATTACATAAATTAAAAATAAAATTAAAAAAAAGATAGGTGGGGTAGTAGAACTAGCCCAGCACCTGACAGCAGTAGACACCTGGGTTTGATCCCCACTTCTAGCATTTTTTTTAAACTGTGTGACCATGAGCAAGCCACTCTCTCTCTCTGAACCTCAGTTTCCTCATCTATAAGATAGAGATAATGGTACCTCCCTTACTGGTTTATTGTGAGGATCTAGTTAAAATATATGGATAAAGCTCTTTGCAAACCTTAAAGAGTGGTGTAAATGCCAGCTGTTACTATGTGTCAATATGTTGAAAACCAGAGATCAGGAATGGAAAGTACCTATAGGTATGTTTAGATGCATAATACTTGTAAGAGTCTGGACATGGACCACTTTTTGATGCTGTCGTGTGTTTTGAAAAAAATTTTGCACTTGAATTTATTATAAACATGTAATAAAAGAACATTATTTTTAGTCAAACACTTTAGTGCTTGTCTTATGGTATATACACGCTTATTAGAGTTCTCATAAAGACACTGCTCCTTAAAAACCATCGAGTTGATAAGGTGGACAAAGAAAAATGGATTATGTTGGCAAAGTAGAGATAGCTGCTGATTTGAAAATCTCATCTGGTCAGTCTCATACTGGTCTATATTTGTCTGTGTTTAAGAAGAGTGGTTGTGTGTTATTTCTAACCCTAAAACTTACTTATTAGGCTTTAGCAAATCATAGAATATGTAAAAGGCATCAAAGAGTTGGTAGAATGCAGGAGGAGTGGCAAACTTTGGGGAAGGGGCTTCTTATCATCACGGGATTTGTAACATTGTGGACATTCCCAGGCATCTTTCTTCCTTTGGAAATTCCTCACTTTCTAACTTGGAGACATCCTCCTATTATTCAGCCATTGGGTCATGAAATTCCAAAGGAAGTGCCGTCTTTAAAAGGAATCGGACGCTCAGGGTGTGCTGCAGTTCTACGACCTGAGCGTGAAAGTGCGCAGTGTGAACCGCGAGGCTGTGCTTGAGGAAATCAGGAGAGCAGATTACCAGATCGTGGAACTGTAAGTACAACTGACTACTGACTAAACCCTGATCAGGATTCATTATAGATGCCAGATCCTGTGGAGAAGGCATTCTGCCAGCTTCTCCCAGGTGGATTTGTGTAATTTTCAGACTGGCTAAAAGTCCAGCTTTCTCTCTGGCGCTAGATGTAAATCCAGAATCCAACTTTTGCTAAGTTGTTGGAGGCTTTAAGGCTTTGCCTTTGAAGAATATCATCAGTCTCATGGTTTAGCATTTCTTTATAGTCAACATCTTATATTTTTAAGAGGCATAATTCTTTTATAATATTAAGGACAATGAGATACTATGAGGTAACAGACAGAGTGCTGGACTTGGAGTCAGGCTGGGTTTGAACCCTCCCTTGGATACTTATTAGCTGTGTGACCCTGGACAAGCCTCTAGGAGCCTCAGTTTCCTCACTTGTAAAATAGTGATAATAATAGACTCTCTTCCTAGAGGACTGCTGTGAGAAACAAATGGGATTATATATGTAAATCACATTAGAAACCTTAACGTAATTTTTAAACGTCCATTTCACTTTAAAAACAAATTCTGTTCTTTTTTGTCTCAGAGAACTACTCCAACGCTAACATTGTGAGGAAAAGGATGATTTCCAAAATGATGACTATCTTGTCATTTCTACATGCTCTCATTTTTGGTAAGATCATATTTGTTTGAGAAACTGATATCACTAATTTTAAAAAGGGATAAAAAACCTCCTTTTGCATAGAGATACCCTATATAATATCATTACCTGATTCTGGGAAAATGTGATACTAGATCAAATGATATTACAATGGGAAACTGAGAAAAAATGCCTGGTGGCAGGGCACTGAGCAGTTTCCAGGAATGAGGGGGTCTTTGCTAATCTCTTTCCCACTCTTAGAAGGGTGACAAAAGCTCAGGTCACCCCAAGGTCCCCAGGAAAATTTCATATTGATTCCCGAGATTGTCCAATCATATGGTTATTATTTCAAGGCCAAGAACCCCAAACAAACCCATAGAACTAAAAAAAAAAATCTGTCAAAAGAACAGTATACTCACAGGATAAAATTGTATGCTTCCTTTTTCTAGCCTGTCTTCTGTTTGAAGGGAGTGAAGCTTGGTTATACGCTTCTTCTGAAATGAATATGACTTATGAACAGGCAAGGAAATATTGTCAGGAAAGGTACACAGACCTGGTTGCCATTCAGAACAAGAATGAAATTGAGTACCTGAATAGAACACTAACATTCTCTCCAAGTTACTACTGGATCGGAATCAGAAAAATCAATGGCATCTGGACCTGGGTGGGAACACAGAAGCCGCTGACCAAAGAGGCCATGAACTGGGCTCCTAACGAGCCCAACAATAAGCAAAATAATGAGGACTGTGTGGAGATCTATATCAAGAGGAAAGAAGCCTCAGGCATGTGGAATGATGAGAGGTGCACAAAAGAGAAGCTGGCTTTGTGTTACACAGGTATGGTGCATGATGAATTAGTAGGAAATGATAATGGTAGAATGGGTGAGAGTAATATTTGAATAATAGCTACCAAATAGTTTTAAGGTTTGCAAAGTGCTTTACATATATCATTTCATTTGATCCAGAAGTACCGACCTCATAAGTTTCCTCTACTGAAATAATGAGATAATGTATGTAAATCTTTTTATAACGCTAAGTCTCAATATAGTTGTTAATTATTTCTTTCTGTTTTTGGTTTTTTTTTTTTGGTGAGGAATCAGGGTTAAGTGACTTGCCCAGGGTCACACAGCTAGTAAGTGTCAAGTGTCTGAGGCCAGATTTGAACTCAGGTCCTCCTGACTCCAGTGCTGGTGCTCCATCTACTACTCCACCTACCTGCCCCTTAGTGTTTAATTATTAATAGCTAGGTGATACACTGGATGGGGTGTTAGATCTGGCATCAAGAAGACCTGAATTCAAATATGGCTTCAGGCACTTCCTAGCTATGCGACCCTGGGCAAGTCACCTTTCTCATCCTTTGTTTCCTCATCTGAAAAATGGGGATAATAATAGCACCTACAATAATAGCACCTCTCAGGTTTGTTGTGAGGATAAAATGAGATTATATTTGACCTTTGCAAACCTTAATGCACTATTATCTAAAAGAAAGCTAGTGTCATCATTATCATCATCATTATTGTTATTATTACTATCATTACCACAATCAGAATGTGTGTGTGTGTGTGTGCAGTGATGGTCACTGAGGCTGAGATACGTGTGTGTCTAGAGCACTGGGTATAAACGTTTAGAGATGATGAAGAAATATGGTACCTCCATTTTGCAAGATGGCCTTATGAGTGTGAAAATAAACACCACCTGTTAAGATTTTTGGTCTGAAATATATTAAAAATGAGATTCGGGGAAAGGTGGACCTAAAAATGTCAGCCTGACCTCTTGACAGACCCATGAGCTAAAATCAGAAGCCCAGCAGGCCAATATGATTTGGGTCCTCTTAACAGCCCTCCTTTAGCAACCATCCTCATGATTCCTTAAAGGAATAATAGCAGCAGCAGTGATGATCCTTTTGGTTTCAGCCTCCTGTACCAGCAACTCCTGCAATGGCCATGGGGAATGCGTGGAGACCATCAACAGCTTTATTTGCCAGTGCTATCCGGGGTTCACTGGGTCCCAGTGTGAGCACGGTAAGACCTCCTCTGCCTAATCCATTTATTCCATTGTTGCAGCCTCATTTCATCCTCTCCCTTGTCTTTGGGGTGTGGACTCTATCACATTACTTTCCCTGTTACACCAAAAGGAGGAATGAGTCAGGATGATTTTGTTTTCTATCATAGCTGTGACCTGTGAATCTCAAGCCAATCCTGAGCATGGCATCCTGGTTTGCAGCCATCCAATGGGGTATTTCAATTCTTCCTGTTCTGTGAATTGTGAAGAAGGCTACGTCCCAACCAGTACTAATTCAATACTGTGTACTTCTTCTGGAGAATGGAATGGACCTAGCCCTACTTGTAAAGGTATTTCATTTTTCTTCAGTATAGAAATTTCTGGGCCTCATTCTAGAACCCCTGTTTCTTATCCCACTTATATTAGATTATTTTGGAAGCTATTTTAGAACATAACTCATTCTGTCTTCCAATCTATAGTCAACTCAAGAACCACACTAATGGAGGGGAACAACCATGAGAGTAATTCAAAATGGCAGTCCATCAAAATATGATAGATCTTTGGCTCTGAAGGGTATATTGTATTTTCTTTGAATAGGAATGATCCCAGTTTTGTGGAGATTTAGAACGCTTGGAACAACAACAGAAATGAAACAATGCTTCTTCTCTAATCACCTCCTTTCTTACTTACCCAACCTACTCCTCCATACTGGGAATAGACTATTTCATCTTTAGACTGTTACAAAACTTTAGCTTAGGGGCAGCTAGGTGGCGCAGTGGAGAGAGCTCTGGACTCAGAGTCAGGAGGACCTGAGTTCAAATCTGGCCTCAGGCACTTGACACTTACTAGCTGTATGACCCTGGGCAAGTCACTTAACCTCTATTGCTTCACCAAAAAGCAACAACAATTACAACAACAACAACAGAAAGAAAACCAACTTTAGCTTACAAGCAAAAGCAATGTTGGTTTGCATCTGGGAGAATTTCAATTTGGCTTAGAATTCCTTTTCTTACAGTTCCTTTTGGGCTTGAGAACATCAAGATTCAATTTGTGTTAGCAAAGTAGAGAGACTTTTAATAGAGAATTATCAGTGTAAATAATCAGAAGTTGACTTTCTCTGATAAGGTGGAAATCACACGTGAGAGGCTTCATGCTCAAGTCTCTTCTTTCAGGGACTTGTAGGACTGTCCACATCCTACACAGAAGAACTCTGCTGTTCTGTCAAGTTCACGGTCTCGCTTCTAATTTCTAGTGGTGGAGTGTGACACACTGACAAGTCCTGTTCATGGATCCATGAACTGCTCCCAAAGCTCTGGCATCTTTCCATGGAATACAACCTGTGTGTTCGACTGTGAGTCAGGATTTGAACTAAAGGGATCCAAGGAGCTTCATTGTAGCTCATCTGGGAAGTGGGACGTGGAGAAACCAATGTGTCAAGGTAGGATGTCTTAATATTAAGAGGCAATTCAAAGGGCTGGTTCTGTAATGTATTACTATAGGGGTCAAACAGATGGTTAATGGGAATGATGTGTGTCTGCTTTTCTGTGTGCCTCAGCAGTGAAATGTAATGCTCCCAGCCAGCCCCATAATGGCTTTGTGAAGTGTGTCCATCCCCTCACTGGAGACTTTACCTATGGATCAGTCTGTAGTTTCAGCTGTGAGGAAGGTTTTGCACCGCAAGGATCATCCCAGGTTGAGTGCACGGCTCAGGGGCAGTGGACACAGCAATTCCCAACGTGTGAAGGTAGGACCAAATTTCTATCTTTTAACATTATAATATGACAGGTCCAGCAGCTTTCTCTTCTCTGAATGGAGATTCCATTCCTTCAAAGTCATGCAATGAAATGAAGCCAGGTGCCTGCTTAACCTTTTGAAATCAGATTCAATGGGCACTGTGAACCCCAGGCACTATGTTTAAACCACTTAATTAGCTCTAGGTGTAAGGCAGATCTAACCAGTTTCCCCTTAAGCATGCACAGAGTATTGAATAATTAATTGTTCTCCACCCTAGAGGAGCAGCTTATTCAGATGAGCTTGTGCCCCAGGTTATACTCATTATTGGCTAGATACATACATGGAAAGATTGGTTCCTATTTAGAATGTAATAGATGTAAGCCAGTAAGAGCACTATCTTATATAAGCTGATGGTGGAAGAGGTAGAAATGTTAATATGATGGAAATAATGGCCTCTGAGGTCCTAGACAGCTCGTGATCTTAAATCTTACGAAGTGTTTCTAGCACAATGCCAGGCACAGAGTAGACACGCAAGTATATGCTGAGCATAGATGCATAAGTGCATGTTTACATCTTCTCCAGTAGAAGGACAGAGACATTGAAACCTAGCAAGTTATGTAAGAATCAGCAAACTCGTTCTTGGAGTGCCAAAGTGGCCAGAAAGAGATGTTTGTTTCAGAGTCAGGAAGGTCCACAATCAGGGTCCTAAGCAAAACTTCAAAGCAAGTAACAGATTTCTTTGGTGCCACCCACCTCCCATACTGAGCTCTTCTCTCCCTCCTGCCGCTACCTCCCCTTAGTCTCTCCAGGTCCCTAGATCCCCAGTGCTTCCCCCCGATTGTCCAAAGCCCTCCCTCCCATCCCTAGCCTTCCCAGAGTGTCAGAGGAACAACAAATCCCACTTCTGAGAGGCTGCCATCTATGCCTGCCCAGAATTAACCTTATTGAATGGATGAGGAAAGAGGAGTAGAGGAGAAATAAAAATTACTTCTCCCATGGGATCAAAGAGAGGAAAGAATGCGGATTTAGCACTGAAATGCCGCTACATCTTCAGACTGCTTTTTAGTACACTGCATCAAGCTGCTGTGTTCTATAAGCCCCCACCCCCCAATTACTCATAAATCCTGCTGAAATAGCATGATGTACCCAAAGAAGGCTGGATTTGGAGGCACAAAGTCTTAGCTGAAAACTGGTTCTGCCACTAACTCCACGTGTGACCTGGGCCCAATTACTGAACCTCTCTGGGTCTGGATTCCCCCCTCTACAGAATGAAGGGGCCTCGAGGCTGCAGGTCCACCCGTGGACTAGGCCGTCTCTGAAGGCTGCTAGTTTGAACCCTATGATCCATGATCTAGAATTAGCTTCTTCTTTACCTCTGTCTTTCATGGAATGGATCTGAGTTCACTCATCAAAGTACAAACACTTCCACATTGCTTCGCGATCCCAACTGAGTATTCACTTGTGTCTCATTAGCTATACAGTGTAAAGCACCCACCAGGCCAGAGAGGGGCCACATGGAATGCCTTCCTAGCGTTTCTGGAAGTTTCCAAAGTGGATCCAGCTGTGAGTTCTCCTGCGACGAGGGATTTAAGTTGAAAGGATCCGAGAGACTCCAGTGTAACTTCACAGGGGAATGGGACATGGAGGTGCCCATGTGTGAAGGTAGTTTTTAAAAATCCAAGCTTTTTTTTTTTTTCCAACACCCAGGACTTTATTTCTTGAGCAGTCAGTCTGTCATTGCATTAGTTAAGCAAACTGCTTATAGTAACGGCGTGTTTGTGTGCACTTGTGTGTGTTACAGCCGTGAAATGCGATGCTGCTCGCCAGCCCCAGAATGGTTCTGTGACGTGTGCCCATTCCCCCGCCGGAGACTTCACTTACCAGTCAGTCTGTAACTTCTGCTGTGAGGAAGGCTTTGAGCTGCAAGGGTCCCCCCAGCTTGAGTGCACGGCCCAGGGGCAGTGGACACAGCAAATGCCGACCTGTGAAGGTAGGACCGAATTTCTCTCCTGTCAGCAGCTCCCTTCAGGCAAGAGAGCTACTGAAAACTTAGAACTCATGTTGTGAAATGAAGCCAGGTGCCCAGCTGTGTAGGTGGTACAGTTCAAGAGTGCCAGACTTGGAATCAGGAAGATCTGAGTTCAAATCCAGCCTCACTTACCAACTGTGTGACCGTGGGCAACTCTATTAACATGTTTGCTTCAGTTTCCTCAACTGTAAAACGGGGATAATAATAGCACCTACTTCACAAGGTTGTTGTGAGGATAAAATGAGATAATATTTGTAAAGCACTTAGCACAGTGCCTAGTACATAGTAGGTGCTGTATAAATGCTTATTCCCTTATTCTCCCTGTGAAATCCTAGGCAAGAAACCTAGCTTCTCTTGCAAGGCTTCTGTTTCCTCATCTGTAAAACACAGGTGCTACTTTCAGTGGCTTCTTAGGTCCTTTCTGGATCCAAATCTATGATCCTGTGATCAATCCCTACAGTTAAAAGGCTTACTGTCTACCAGGAAGTTAAAACATAAATATAACTATTGTATATGCTGTTGTTGTTCAGTTGTGTCCGACTCTTGTGACACTATTTGGGGTTTTCTTGGCAAAAATACTGGAGTGGTCTGCCATTGCTTTCTCCAGCTCATTTTACAGATGAGGAAACTGAGGCAAACAGGGTTAAGTGACTTGCCCAGGGTCACACTTTATTTCTTGAGCAGTCAGTCTATCATTGCATTAGTCAAGCAAACTGCTCATAGTAACGGCGTGTTTGTGTGCACTTGTGTGTGTTACAGCCGTGAAATGTGATGCTGCTCGCCAGCCCCAGAATGGTTCTGTGACGTGTGCCCATTCCCCCGCCGGAGACTTCACTTACCAGTCAGTCTGTAACTTCAGCTGTGAGGAAGGCTTTGAGCTGCAAGGGTCCCCCCAGCTTGAGTGCACGGCCCAGGGGCAGTGGACACAGCAAATGCCGACCTGTGAAGGTAAGACTGAGTTTAGGTTCTTTTATTTCTTCAAAAATATTTTCTTTTATATATGAAAGTGAAAATGAGATAGTTTATTTCAAAGAAACAAAAGCCTGTAACTTTGATGACTAAAACATAAACCAAAGTTTTAATTAACAATGAGCTTGGGTTCTTAGGTGGGTTGATCAGCTCTTGGAGGTCATTTAATACCTAGATAGAAATTAAAGCCTTGATCCTAATTTTTTTATGCTGGAAACATAAATTTGTATATTTTCTGGCCTCTAGCCTGAAACAGGTAAATTTTAAGTTGAGAGAGACTAAGTCACTCACAGTCATACACTATCTTTCATATTATAGACTAATTTACTCAGATGATTTGCAGAATAATCTTAAAGAAATGTGTCCCCTAGCCCAGAAGTTTCGGAGGGGAATTCAGTTTAACCAGCTTGACTATTTCCCAGTAGACATTTATTAACCTCATGCATCTCTCTCTTTGAATGTCATTTCTAGTGGTACAATGCTCTACTCTGAAAGTCCCCGAGGAGATGAACATGACCTGTGATGGTGATAGGGATTTTCTCTATGGCACCAGATGTGTGTTTGAATGCCCCGAGGGATGGAAACTCAACGGCTCAGATTCCTTGGTATGCAGAGACACAGGAAGCTGGTCTGGGATGCTGCCTTCCTGTGAAGGTAATGGGCTAGGGCTGGCTCACTAAGAGGATGTGGGCTGAAGGGTAGAAAGGGAATTATCTGGATATTTCAGGAAATGATGTATAAGGGACAACAATTGCCCATCCTTCTCATGTACTTATTCATTTAACTAATCAGTTATTAAGTGTCTGTTACATACAAGGAACATTGCTGGGCCCAGGAGATAAAAAAAAAACAAAACAAAATAAAAAAGGCTCTGACATCAAAGATGTTACATTCTTTAACCAGAAGATTATATAGGTTAATGAACTGCACAACCTTTATATCCACAGGGATAGGGGGAAATAGGACAAAAAATACTTGTTATTGTTTAGAGGAGGGGTCAGCAAACTATGGCCAGTGGGCCAAATCTGGCCCATTACTTGTTTTTGTACAGCTGTGAGTTAAGAACTGTTTTTAACGCCAGATGTGCAAGAACAGATGGTGGGCCAAATTAGGCCTGCAATAGGAGTTTGTTGATACCTGGTTTATAGTAAAAGTTCTTAACTTAGGGTCTGTAGACTCAGGAGGTCCATGGACTTGGTCAAAAAGAAAATTAATCTTTATTTTGACTAATCTCTAACTAAAACTTAGCTTGGCCTTTAATTACGGAAAAACATCATTCTGTGAAGGGATTTCTAGGCTTCATTGGACTACCAAAGGAGTTTATGCCAGAAAAAGGGTTAAGAACCCCTCGTTCAGGTCGCTTCTGCTCTGGGCATGGGAGAATCCCTCCTCTTACTCACGGACACTTTCCATCCAACCAGTAGCATTCCTTTGAACAAAATCCATTGTTAGTTAAATCTTTTGATGAATGATTTCACCCCCTTACATTCTACCTAAGATAAAAATGCCAAATATAGCAAATGATCCTCTCATCAATAGAAGAAAAGGCCAAGGAGGAGGGACTTTGAATCTGCTTGCAAGTGTCTTACCTCATTTGTATTTCTGAATGACTCTTTTCCTCCTCATTCCCTTAGCTCCCGAGGAGTCAAACACTTCCCTGGTCGTTGGCCTGGCCACCAGTGGGACCTCCCTCTTGATGACTGCGTCATTTCTTCTTTGGCTCGCAAAACGTCTTCGAAAGAAAGGTGAATACCCTGCAAATACACTTCTGGGAATAATTTTCACCAAACAATAGATGAAGGAACGAAGAGGTCATAATACCTCTTACAAATGCAAACTAGGATTTTGGTTCCACTGTGTAGAACCTGGGTTCGACTAGAGGAAGTCCTGGCAGGATGGATGATAGTGAGCAGCCAATGGCAATCTCAAAGCAGGAGCACCTTAGGAAATAATGGTCCAAATTAGCAGTAACAGATTCAGTGTTAAGAGGCAATATGGCGCAGGAGAGAGAAGGCCACCCTTGGAATCAGGAAGACTAGGATTCAGGTCCTGTCCCTGATAGACACTAGCTGTATAACCATTTTCTCTTTTGGTGATATAGACCATTCTAACACTGTATGTTCCCCAAAAGTTGCTGAAATGCATCAATGGAGATAATTTCCATACCAAGGGTTCCCCACTACAGTGAAATTTACAGATCTGGATCAAAAGGAGGGTCAATGTTACAGCAAAGGAGGATTGGAAAAAATGCTCCTGAAGTATATTTCTTGAAAGTCCCAGGCTTGAATCAGAGTTGAGGAGATCACAGGATAGTAGATTTAGAACCTGAAGCAGTGTTGAGGTCATTTAGTTCTATCTCCTCATTTTATGAGGAAACTGAGTCACAGAGAGGTTGGGGGCCTTGACCGAGGTTATACAGGTCCTAAGTGGCAAAAATGAAATTCAGACCCAGGTCTTTTATTTTCGAATCCAGTGTTCAGGAGGCCTGAGCCCCTCTGCCCCCTTTTTTTCAGTGGGAAAAGTATTCTGCCAGTGAATCATTTGGTCTGCATTTGAGAGAGGAGGAATGGGGCACCTGCCCCATGGGGTTGTGAAGAAAATATTGTTAACCTTAAAGTATTAGATAAATATGGATTGTTATTATTAATTATTATTTTATCAAGAGGCAACATGGCGGATAGAGAGTTGACTTTGAAGCCAGGGACACCTGGGTAAAAGCCCACCTCTGACTCATACCAGTCATGTGATCACTGGCAAATCACTTAACCTCCAAGTGTTCTAGGCAGCTCCCCATGCTAACTGCAGGTACAAGGAAGATGCTGACGTGCTTGCTTAGGTGATGATTTTGCACTCAGGACTCCCTTATGCTAGTAAAATCACAGATCCAATACCTACTCTATTATTAGTATTATTACCTTGTTTTGTGATCATTTGAACCTTACCAATAACTGATCTTTCAAAACAATATCAGATTTATAAAAAGAGCTAAGGGTTGGGAGCTCAATTTGTCAGAAAGGATAAATTAAAAATTAGGGAATAAGGCAAATAGTTCAAAATTAGTTTTATTATTTCATGACATTAATGATTTTCTTTCTTTTCCTTGCAGTAAAGAAATTTTCTCCTACTAGGTAAGTTTTATCCTTGTGGATATATGAAATATACCAGCTAATATTTTATACAAATATTTCTCCCCTTTTCCACTGGAGAATAGTAGTTTACCTTGTCTTGTCTTGTGTGTTTTACAGCAGCTGCCAAAGTCTCGATTCAGATGGAATCTACCAAGCTTCTTCTGAGTTAATTTAAGTCCAACAGGATCAGGTAAAGTATCTATGTTTATTAAAAATCTATTTGGTTATCAGTGTCATCATCCTTTATTCATGTGGCATCAGCTCTACTGAACCAGAATTTCCTTGGTTTCTGAGGCTAATTGCCATACCTTATTTGCAATGAACAAAATATAGAATCATAGAATGGGAACCAATGCTACAGGAATCTAATGAGCCACTTCACTCTTTTATCCATTCAACAGAAATTTATGGCATGTCATCTACTTCTGTCAGAACACAACTTAACCTTTAAGGCCAGACTACTTAGCCGTTGGTGCCTCAATACTCCCTTTTCAATGGGAGTAGGGCTAGAGATGTTCTAAGTGTTTGGCGAACTGGATTTACCAATTAACAATTTTATTCCAATTCAATAAACACTTGTTTCATGCCCACTGTGTACAGAAAGCCTTGTGTTAGGTATTAGGGGAGACACAAGTTTTACTAAGACATGGCCCCTATCTTCACTGGTCTTTACCATCAAGGCATTTTGTGTTCACAAATAGTTGCATCTACAAATGTTTTATTATAAAAGGATTTGGGTTGGCTGGGTGGATAAAAATGCACGTGTAAATTATGACTTTGGTCTAGCTAGAACACAGTGTTAAGAATGAACAAGATTCAGATTTTGTGAGTGTTCTGAAAGGATTTGCTATTGTCTTTGCAGGAACTGGAGATACCTTTTCAGATATGTCTAGAAAACTGGGTTTTTCAGTCATGTGCCTAGCCACTGGGGACAACTCTTCTCCTCAAGAGGAAAATCTCCCTTGGATCCTTGGTCTTTCCATGCCTATAAATCACAAGCTTGGCATCCACAAGGAACTTCTGCTGATCAAGTCGGTGACAAGGGCTATCCCCTGTCTTTCTACTGGGAAGAGTCAGTTTCAATTTAGTATATGTTAACGTACCCTTTGAAATGAGAGGATGGATTGTCTTATAATAGATTGACCAACCAATGAGGCATTGTTAAGGCCTTGTAAAGGTAATGGAAAAAGGGCCTGCAATGTTGGAATTACATTCCTAGCCATCTCTAAGCATGAGCTCAGTGGAGACCCAACTTTGAAGTTCTTTGGTTCTTCACAAATGATGTGTGCCCTGACAGTTTCTAACACTCATAGAATACAGGTGAACAGGTGTTGTGAGGTAATGATATTTAACTTTGTAAAATGTAAGATGCCACATAAATGGGAAGAGTATTATAACTTATCAAGTGTTCAGAAGATCCTTGGGGATCTTCTGTTGAGAGAAATTCTGCCGCTAATTAAATACTGAAAAGAAATTCTATCATTTAAATGCCAAGAGAGATAACATTGACAAGAGCTCTGAAGAATGCAAACCATACCCATTTCTACTCACCAAACTGTACTTGAATGGCAGATCATTGATCTGGGGTACTTTTATTACTGTGGGATGCAGTTCAGCAAAATGTGCTTAGAGATTATTGGGTGATTTTTTTTTCTAAAATTTTCTAACATTTGACCAACTATATAGAATGTTCTGAGATTGACAAAACATTAAAACTATCCTTTAATAGTGTTTTTGGGGACAGCTAGGTGGTGCAGTAGATAGAGTGCCAGATATGAAGTCAAGAAGACTTATCTTCCTGAGTCCAAATCTGTTTTCAGACATTTACTAGCAGTGTGACCCTGGGCAAGTCACTCAATCCTGTTTACCTCAGTTTCCTCATCTACAAACATCTGTAAAATGAGCTGGAGAAGAAAATGGCAAGCCACTCCAGTGTCATTGCCAGAAAAAAAAAACAAATGGGGTCACAAAGAGTTGAACATGATTTAAATGATTGTACAACAACAGTAACAAAAAAAGTGCTTTGTACTTACTGAGAGCTCTCAGCAAGGTGGTGGGTGCACTTACTTTTCCTGGTGTTAGCTGTATCTCTGAAAAACTTGCGGTACTTTTTTTTTTTCCAGCAGAAGTCTAAGACCAGTGCCATCCATGAACTTTTTATTTCTCCAAAGGGAAGAGCTCTAATGCTCAGGACATGAAGGGGCCCTTCTATAGTTGTCCTCTTTCCACTATTCTTACCCATATAAAGAGTAGAAACAGCTCTCACTGTATAAATTGTATATATGATTTTTTAATTTCTTTTTCTCAGAAACTTCTATATCTTTTGCTTGTTATTTCCTCAGAGATGTTAAGTAATAAATAGCCTTAGCATTTCCATGTATGGAAAAAAAATACGGTTCTAGGATGTTGAATGTTTGACTTTGAAAAACAAATGGAGGTACAATTTTAATGACATCTTCTCTGTGTTGAATTAAATGAGAATTATGGGTATGTTCTATTTGATGTCAAAGATATGTGTGATTCTCAAGTGTCATATAAATACGATTCTTGTAAACTGAATTGTATTTTCTGTCCAATGGGAGCTCAATGTCTTTGCAGTAGATTATACAGCAAAGTGAAACTGCCTAATGAAAGATGCTCATCCCTCAACTTTCTCTGCTTTGTAAATTGGGAGGTTGTCCACACACATATAAAAATGGTTGCTTATTTATATGCAGAGAAAAATCCCCAATTGTCAGCTCCCCATTGATGGCCGGAAAGCCTGAAACAGTGACCACTGCCTTGGTCTCTGCCATGGCTGTCCTAGTGCTACAAGATGTGAGAGATGAGGCTTTCTGTGCTTCTGTGCTTTCATCATTATATCGTGCATATTGGGGCATTTTGTGCATATTGGGGCATATTGTACACATTATGTACACATACTGGGGCATACTGAGCTAGAGAGATGGTGGCAGTTTCAAGTAGTTGGACCAAAAGTCAGTTTGGCATAAAGCTGGGAATTTGCAAAGCAAAGTAAAAGCACATTCCACATTGCTCCTACCAATATCATTTTACAATAACGTCTTATGAGCAAACCTCACTGTAAAGCTGCAAAACCTGTCTATAATAATAGTGTTTTGTAAACATTAAAGTGCCATGTAAATGCTAGCTATTTTTATTAATAACAGCATTTGGCTGACAACCATTTATAGCATCATTCCTATGGAATGAATTGCCATCAGTAATGTCATTTTCTCACATGGAGTTTTGTAGAACCAATTGATGGTATCAGGTAAATTATGCCTATACTAAACCAAAACCTTTTTTTGGCAAATAGGAGAAGGAGACTTTATAATGCTCAGGTTTTAGTATGAATGACTATGTCTTAGAATTTTAAAATATTGTTTATAAGTAACAGATTGTTAATATGTATGTGTGTGAAATACTTGTACTGAAAAACATGTATGAGCTTTTGGGTTCTGTAGAGATTTTGTAATATGACTTTTAAAAATAAGTGTTTAAAATATTTATTTATGTAATATGTATCTATTTTATTCTTTATTATTCAATAATAAATAATAAAGATTTTTATAACAATCTTTGTGTATGGGTTTTGTATTTGTACTGAACATAAGTATTCTGGGTGAAGCTCCCATATGTAGGGAAGAAGAAGGCCCCACATGTGTAGTGAGGGCAAGGCTTGTCATTATGTGACTTGAAAAGAGGCAGAACAAATAAAAAAAAAAAGAGAGAAAAAAAAGAAAAGAAAAGAGGCAGAACAGACATCTCCAGCCTCTTCTCTCTCTACTATTCTCCAAGAGAGAATTTTATTCCTGCCAGGAGGAGAAGCAGGAAGTTGGTGCTGGAGACCACTCTGCTGTCCTCAGAGAGGAGGGCTACCAGGCTAAAAGCACATAAGCATATCTATATACTTCATTAAATATTGTTTTTCTAGGGAACATAACCAGGTTCCATATAACTTTTGATCCTATATAAAACTTTCATTTATCTCCAGAATCACACCAATTACCTACAGGACATTTCAAACGCAACATGTCCAAAACAGAACTCATCTTTCCCTCCAAACTCACTTCTCCTCAGAGCCTCCTTATTACTTTTAAGGGCACTACCATCCTTCCAATGAGCCAGGTTTGCAAATGGCATAGCTCTCCTCACTTTGATCCATCATCCCGCAGTTGCCAAAGGGATTTTCCTAAAGCATAGGTTTGACCAAGTCACTCCTCCCCCCAATAAACTTCAGTGGTGTCTTATTAGTCAACAAGTCAAGTCAACAAGCATTTATTAAGCACTTACTATATGCCAAGCACTGTGCTAAGCACCGGGAATACAAATACAAGCAGAAAGACAGTCCCTGCCCTCAAGGAGCTTTTATTCTGATGGAGAAAGACAAAATATAAAAGGAAACTGAAAAAGGAGTGTGGCCTGGAGGAAGAGATGAAGGTGCTCAAGAAGGGAGCATGGTAGAGAAAGTCCATAGAGTAGGAGTACAACCTAGAGAGGATGGCCTGGGAGTGCTTCTTAAAATGGAAGTTCTAGGAAGAACCAGCCAATCAGAAATACAGGCTGCAGAGATGAAGGCACTTCCAATGTGTGAAATTTAGGGGTAGGTGAGCTTCCAGGGTAAAGAGGTTCTAGGGCATGGTAGAGAAAGTGCAGAGAGACAGGGATGCAGCCTGGAAAGGATCCTTTGGGGTCTCATAGGTTCAAAGATAAGCTATTTCCATGCAAATAAAGTCAGATCTAAATAACTGGAAAAACATCAGTTGTTCATGGGTAGGACGAGCTAATATAATAAAAATGACAATTTTACCTAAATAAATTTACTTATTCAGCACCATACCAATCAAACTACCAAAAAATTATTTTAAAGAGCTAGAAAAAATAACAAGATTCATCTGGAAGAACAAAAGGTCCAAAATAACAGGGGAACTGATGAAGAAATGCTAGGGAAGGTAGCCTAGCCATTCCAGATCTTAAATTGTATTATGAAGTAGCTATCATCAAAACTACTTGATACTAGCTAAGAAATAGAGTGGCAGATCAGTGGAATAGGTTAGGTATACAAGATACGTAGTCAATGACTATAGTAATCTACTGTTTGATAAACCCAAAGACTCCAGTTTCTGGGATAAGAACTCACTATTTGACAAAAACTGGTGGGAAAACTGGAAAAGAGTATGGCAGAAACTAGGCATTGACCAAAATCTTATACCATATACCAAAATAAAGTCAAAATGAGTACATGATTTAGATATAAAGGCTGATACTATAATCAAACTGGGAGAGCAAGGAATAATTTACCTGTCACATTTATGGAGAAGAGAAGAATTTATGACCAAACAAGAGATAGAGAACATTATGAAATGCAAGATGGATAATTTTGATTACATTAAATTGAAAAGTTTTTGCACAAACAAAGCCAATGCAACCAAGATTAAGAGGGAAGCAGAAAACTGGGAAAGAATTTTTACAACCAGTATCTCTGATAAGGGCCTCATTTCTAAAACATATAGAGAACAAAGTCAATTTTATAAGAATATAAGTTATTCCCCAATTATAAATGGTCAAAGGATATGAACAGGCAGTTCTCAGATGAAGAAATTAAAGTTATCTATAGTCATATAAAAAAATGCTCGAAATCACTATTGATTAGAGAAATGCAAATCAAAACAACTCTGAGATACCACATCACACCTATCAGATTGGCCAACATGACAAAGCAGGAAAATGATAAATGTTGAAGATGTGGGAAAATTGGAACACTAATGCATTGTTGGTGGAGTTGTGAACTGATCCAACCATTTTGGAGAACAATTTGGAACTATGCCCAAAGGGCTATAAAAATGTGCATACCCTTTGACCCAGCAATAGCACTTCTAAGGTTACATCCCAAAGAGATCACACAAATGGGAAAAGGACCCACGTGTACAAAAATATTTATGGCAGCTCTTTTTGTGGTGGCAAAAAATTGGAAATTGAGGGAATGCCTATGAATTGGGGAATGGCTGAACAAGCTGTGGTATATGAATGTATTGTGCTATAAGAATTGATGAGCAGGCAGACTTCAGGAAAACCTGGAAAGACTTGTATGGATTGATGCTGAGTGAAGTGAGTAGAACCAGGAGAATGTTGTACACAGTTATAGCCATGTTGTACTATGACTAACTTTGGTAGACTTAGCTCTTCTCAGCAATGCAAGGATATAAGACATCTCCAAAAGTCTCATGATGGAAAATGCTATTCACAACCAGAGAAAGAAGTATGGAGTTTGAATGCAGATGGAAGCATATTATTTGCTCTTCTTTTTCTTCTGTTTTATTTTGCTTCTTCTTTCTTGTGGTTTCTCCTATTGGTTCTAATTCTTCTTTGCAATACGACTAATGTGAAAATATGTTTAATAGAAATGTATATGTAAAGCCTGTATCAGAATTGCATGTCATTTTGGGGAAGGAGGTAGGAAGGGAGGGAGAGAAAATTTAAAACTCAAAAACTTATGGAAGTGAATGTTAAAAACTGAAAATAAATTAATCTAAAAAATAAAATAGAAAAGATATTCTCTTTTGTTGGTACGACTCTTCACAGTTTGACCCCTTCCTATCTTTCCAGTCTTCTTGCACATTATCCATCTTCCATGTATTCCATCCAAATGCTGAATTGTCATTCATAAAGTGCCCAAAAGTCCTGTAGTAATTTCTTCTTGCACACAGAAAGAATGGGGCACTGAAGAGTTGGGTGGTTTGCCCAGGGCTGCATAGCCAGTGTGCATCTGAAACAGGATTTGAACTCAGATCTTCTTTATTCTAAGTCCAGTTCCCATCTCTATACAAATTATTCTTAGATCTACTTACCCATCTCTACACTCTTTGCTGACCTCCACTCTCACATCTCCAACTGCCTACTGGACACTACAACTGAATGTCCCATATATATCTTAAACTCAACATGGCCCACACTGAACTCAATATCTTTTTCCCCAAGTTCCCTCTTCTTCTAAATTTTTCTAATGCTGTTGTAATCCCAATCCCAAACCTGCTGACGTGGAACTATCTCGTTATTGGTGGCTGTATCAGGGACGGGGATTATCTCCAAATTATCCTGTATATAACATGCTTGCATATAGCTGTCTACATGTTATCTCCCCATTAGACTGTGAGCTCCTTAGAGCAGGGACTATCCTTTGCCTTTCTTTGCATACCCAGAGCTTAGCACAGTGCCTGGCACACAGTAGGCACTTAATAAATGCTTATTGACTTGACTTGATTCTATCCCTCTGCCATAAGCTACTATAAATAGCAAGACCAATTATGATATTATGATAGTCTAAAATAGAAGCTATTATGACAGTCTAAATATGGCTAAAGTCTGGGTCAGATGGTTATAATAGGAATGAATTGAGAAGAGGGGATATATGAAATAGATGTTGGGGAGATAGCATCTACAGGACTGGGTAATGATGGAAGTCGTTAGCCTGAGTAAGTAGGAGGATGGTGGGGGTCATCAATAGAAAGAGCACAGTTAGAGGAAAGGATAAGGTTCTTTGTTTTGTAGAAGATGAGTTCAATATGGGCCATTCCAAGTTGTCCTGAAGACAGTGGAGGCAGTGTGGTATAGTGAATTGGTAGAATCCTAGACTTGGAATCAGGAAGAACTTGATTCAAATCTTGCCTCAGATACTTACTAGCTATGGGACCATGGGCACGTTAATCCCTATGAGTCTCAGTTTCCTCATCTGTAAAATACAGGGATTGTACTAGAAGTCTCTGCCGCCCCTTCCGACTCTAAATCTACAACTTTATGGACCAGAGTCCTTTAGAATATTGGGTGCCCCAACCAAGGGAAGATGCAGAAAAACTTGCATGACTTGAGAAGGTGGGATTGGGTTATGAATGACCTGATCCCTTGGAGCTCCCCCACAGACAAGATCCCCGAATTACTGAAATGAATGAAGGATGAGAGAATATACTTTGTCAGGAGAAAAGAGAGAGATCACTGAGTACTTTGAGATTAATGAGAGAATGTCACTGATTAGGCAAAAGAGAAGAAACACCAGTAAGCAAATCATTTACTTTATTTTTTATTTTATTTTTATAGGTTTGAAAATTTTTATTATGGGGATGTATACTCCTAAAAGTTTAAAGACTGATGTTAATAGCAGTAAATATTTAATAAATATTTGTTTAATTGAAATGAAGAAATTAACAAAATCACAACTAAACCTATGGCTTTCTATTTATGTGGCTGTCAAATTATTTGTCCACAACAGAAAACAAAAACAAACAACAAAAAGCTTATCACTCTAACCAACCTAATTTGATTAAATTATGCATATTATGGACTTTTCAATATTTGATCCATCGTAGTGATTAATGTGATAACAATAAATGATAATTCACAGTTATATTGGGATTAAAAGTTTAGAAAATGCTTTTTTTACATCAGCTGAGGCCATCTTTTTTTTTCTTTCTTTACAGTATCAAAACTATTTTGTTCTATCATATATATAGTACCACTTGTGTTAAAATGATACCTAGGGCCAGTACCGGTTTTCTCTTGCTCATCCCACCTTTTGGCCATGTCACCATAGAGTACATCCACTAGAGGGTGACCAAGGGAAGAGAGAGGAGAGAACATTCTCACCAGTCAGCCTGCCTTTCCTTTCCTTCTGTTGAGGTTTGGTGGGGCACAGGGGGAGGTTATGACATTTGTCTAAAATACATTTTTTTCTATTCTGTGTGTATTTTTACTATCTAGTACTTTCTATTCCCGTATTACCACAGATAATCAAGAGATAAGGGTCCTGTCAAAAACAATAATCAAGCTAGTAGTTCATCTCTCCTCTGGGGAGGTGTTCAAGGACAAAGGGGGGACAGGATGTGGGGTGGGGTTGGGCTGCCACAATAAGGGAACTAAGTGTTTTGAGAGGCACTTGGTGCATTGTCTGGGCACCAGAGCAGCACTCGGATGAGGGACAGAAGCCTGAGTGACCCCCACTGAGCTTGAAGGCTGAACTGCTGCAGAGAACTAGAGGAAAGCTAAGCAGTCACCATGGTGAGCCTCTTCATCCTAAGAGACCTTGAGAAAGTCAGAGCAAGAGATGACTGCCCTTGGAAATGTGGGGGCGGGGTGGCAAACGGGCAAAGCAGCACCAATTCAAATTTCCTCTTAAGATGAAAACACAGGTGGTGAAAAAGGCATAGTTAGGGCAGACTATAGAGGTTCAAAGAGATGACATTAGGCTTCTACTCATCTTTCTAATTATATCTTCCTGCCCTTGGACAGATACCTCGGTTGGAAAGAGAGGCTATCCCACGCAATTGAAAACCATTAGCAAATAAGCATTTTAACAATAAACATTATGATTAAGTAATGTAGAATGACAGAGACGTTCTAAAGGAATTGGAGTTTGATGCTGTGATTTCTCTTGAAATTATGAGCTTGTCATCTGGGTAAAAATTATTTTCCTGTGGCTGAACTTTGCAATTGGATTTCTCTTTATTTCTAGCAATTGACCCATCATCATTTTCTAGAGATGGGCAGCACTGTGACACCATAACCTAGAATTTATATTGAGCCTGGATGCTTTTTAATGTCCCTGAAACCCATAAATCATAGCATGGGACAGTGGAAAAAGCATTAGCCCAGGAGTACCTCAGTTCAAAACCCTCCTCCGTCACTTACTACTTACTTACATGACCTAGGGCAAGCCATTTAGTTCCACGTGCCTCAGTTTTCTCATCTATTAAATAAGTGGGGTTGGACCAGATGGCCTCTGAGGACCTTTCCAACTCTAAATTCTATGATTTTGTTATGATAGCCTTACTTTGAATTATAAGATCATAGAGCTAGACTTGCAAGGCCATCTAATTCATCTCACATACACATACCATTTTGCAGATGCAGAAATTGAGGCCCATGCAAATTAAGTGGCCTGCCCAAGGTCACACAAGTATTAAGAAGCAGAGGGTGGGAGGGCCCTAAACTTCTTACCTCAATAAATTAAGGATCTGTAATTTTGTTGGTTTGAGAATTCCCTTCACTGACTCAGTTTGAAGTCCTTCTATAATGGCAGGTGGTTCCTGAAAGTTGCCATAGATGAAATCATCATTAGCTTACAGCCAAACTTTACTTAAATTAGACTAGTCCTTGAAAATAGGCATATGGCCCAGTCTTTTGACCCATACTCTCTAAGTATATTCATTTTAAGAAGATTGGTCAGAGCCTGTGCTCTACTGGACCACCATTCAGGATCCAAGGGTCATCTTTGCCCTAAGCTGAGGCATTGGAGAGGCCAGCTTTTCACAGCGGGAGATTTAAGGGTCTAAGATCATGTTGTCTGAACTAGCCCTAGGACAGAAACACAGCAACAATATTGCAAAATGTACAAAGTCAACAGTGGTGCTGCTTGGTAATTGTAGAATAAAGCACATGCACAGATAGGCTTTCGGTGGAGGCGTCAGCTTTGGAGAAGAACCCATCTTGCTTCTGAAAACCACCCCTGAGAACCTGCCTGTGCTCTTGTCCAGGAAGTCCCTCCATGCCAGGGTCTTAGGAGGTGATACAAACCTACTATTTTTTCTTTCATTTTGCAGAAACTTTCCTGGAAATATCAGCCCCTCGCTGGGGGCTGGTGGGGTGTCCTCAGGCTGTACACCCTAATAGTCCTGTATTGTGGTAAGTTGGATAATCAGTTTGCTCTGCTATAACCCTTTCCATGCCATTTGGTTGTTTGTTTCTGGAGGCAAGGAAATAGGCTCTAGGCAAAATTACAGATTAGTCTTTTGGCTTTTTTCACCTCTGGTATGTATGTATGTATGTATATATGGTCTTTTCCACCCTTTTGGCCTTAGCCCATTGTCTGCTCCTTCTTACTCCCCTTCTTTCTGCTTAGGTAATTTTCCTGTATCTACTTCCTGCTAAAATGGTAACTGATAAGGCTTGAAGAGAGGTATCATGGATCAGTGGAAAGAGCATTGGATTTGGCATAGGAGAACCTGGATTTAAACCCTGTCTCTGCCATTTACTGGGGCAGTTAGGGGGTGCCAAAGTGCACAGAGGGCCAGGCCTGGAGTCAGGAAGACTCATCTTCCTGAGTTCAAATCTGGCCTCAGACACTTACTAGCTTTCTGACCCTGGGCAAGCACTTAATCCTGTTTGCCTCAGTTTTCCCAATTGTAAAATGAGCTGGAGAAGGTGACAAATCATTCTAGTACCTTTCCTAAGAAAATCCTAAATGGGGTTGTGACAAATCAGACATGACTGAAAAAGATTGAATAACAACAAATCTGCTGTTTACTGTTTGTCTGGCCTTAAGTAAGTTGCAATACCTCTTTGTTCTCATTTCTTTCGTGTATAAAATGAGGAAGCCAGACTCCAAAATCTCAAAGATTTATCCATTTAGTTTCAAATCTGTGACCCCTTGGCTGAAGAGTGCATGCCCCTTTCTAGTGATATTTATATTTTAATATAGTTCTCTTCAAGATAAAAATATCATTGGTGCACAAAGAAATGAAGTTACTATATAACTTCTAATATAAATTATATAGGTGATAAGTTATTATATAAGTTATTAGATATGTATATATATGAGGCAATGCAGTTCTTGGAGTCAGGGAGACCTAGGTTCAAATCCTTTTGTTGTTATTCAGTCATTTCAAGTTGTGTCTGACTCTTCATGACCCCACTTGGGATATTCTTGGCAGAGATACTGGAGTGCTTTGCTATTTCCTTCTCCTGCTCATTTTACAGATGAAGAAACTGAGGCAAACAGTTTAGTGACTTGCCTAGGGTTATACAGCTAATAAGTATCTGAAGCCAGATTTGAACTCATGAAGATGAGTGTTTCTGACTCTAGGCCCAGTGTTCTATGCACTATGGTGCCACCTAGCTGCCCTTGGGTTCAAGTCTTGCCTCTCTCTATACATACTAACAGTGTGACTATGGACAAATGATCTTTCAATTCCTTAGTTTGTACTCTAAGACCATAAATGACAGATGACTTGAGGATCTATATCACTTCGGAGGATTTTCCATACTGGGAGTTCCATATACTGATGAAATCACTGATCAGCTCCTTCCTACCCTCTCCCTCACTCTCCCCCAGTGTACTAGTCAAGTCATGTCAATGAGCATTTATTAAGTGCCTGCTGCATGCCAGGCACTGTGCAAAGAGCTGAGGATACAAAGGACGGTAAAAGACATTTCCTACTCTCAAGGTCCTCATAATCTAGTGGAGGAGACAATATACAAACCACTTTGCACAAACATGATCTCTGCAGGATAAACTGGATATAATCAACAGAGGAAAAAGGCACTAGCATAGAGGACGGCAGAGAAGGTTTCTTATAGAAGTTGGGGTTTTAGTTGGACTTGGCAGTCCATGCCATGGTGGGCAGTAGGCGAAAATGCAGAGTTGGGAAATGGAATATTGTTTTGGGAGGCAATTGGGGTTAAGTGACCTGCCCAGAGTCACACAGTTAGCAAGTGTCTGAGGCTGGGTTCGAACTCGGGTCCTCCTACTCTATTCATTTCACCACATAGCTGCCCCTGTTTGTGTGAGTAACAGCAAGGAAGTGAGTGTCCCTGGATCTTGAAACATGTGGAGGAGAGTAAGTTTGAGAGGACTGGAAAAGTAGGAAAGGTCCAGGTTTTGCAGGGCTTTAAAAGCTGGAGGATTTTACGTGTGATGCTGGAGGTCATGGGGCGCCCCTGGAATTTACTGAGCAGATTGGGGGTGATGTGGTCCGATCTATGCTTGAGGGAGATCAATTTGACAGCAGGACGGAGGATGGACTGGAGTGGGGAGATGGTTGAAGCAGGCAGACCCCCGGTGCCACACAATTTGTCACTTCATTACACACTTTCTTGAATTTCTTGTTAATTATTTCATGTGGGTTAGTCTTCTAAGCTCGACCAAACTGTAAAGTCTTTGAGGTCAGACAACGTGGTCCATATCTCTCAGAGCATCTAGTCACGGTGCTGGGAACATAATAGGAGCTTAACAAATTGGTTGATTGGTGATTAAGTGATGTGTGCCATCCTCTGAAAATACATCCTAAGTAGGCTAACTATTTGATCTTCTCATGAGGCCGGTTCTGAACAGTTTCATACTTGACCCTCCAAGTTATACTGTCTTCACAGGACTGAGGAGCTTAATATTAGATATTCTAGAACTAACAGTTTATAAGTCCGTGGGTTAGGGACTGAATCTGTGATTTTACTGGTATAGCGAGCTCCCTGGTGAGCAAACTCCTTCTGCCTGTGCAGGTCACCACTTTGTGTCCCTTTTTTTTTTTTTTAATAGTTTCAATTGTGTAGTGGCTAAAAGGCCATCGTTGGAGGCAGAAAGCTTGAACTCTGGCACCCACTGGCTTTGTGACCCTGGGCACGTCACTTAACCTTTAAGTACTCCAGGCCAACTACTACAACCCCTACAAAAGGATCCCTGCTGGCCACATACTGATTTAGAAAACCACATACTAACATTATCTATATTCTATTCTATTGGGGAGGGGGGACAGCTAGGTGGAGGAGTGGATAGAGCGCCAGGCCTGAAGTCAGGAAGACTCATCTTTCTGAGTTCAAATCTGGCCTCAGACACATATTAGCTGTGTGACCCTGGACAGGTCACTTAACCCTGTTCGCCTTGCTTCCTTATCTATAAAAGGAATTAGAGAAGGAAGTGGCAAACTACTCCAGTATCTTTGCCAAGAAAACCCCAAATGGAGTCACAAAGTGACAGACACAACTTAAACAACTAATCAACAACAAATTGTATTTTTTACTTATTTTGTTAAATATTTCCTGCAGTATTTGGCCCATGTTCTAGGCAAGTCTCTAAGACTATAGTTCAAAGAGAAGATGCTGACCTACATTGGCAGAAGGAATTTCCTCCTCAGGGAACTGCCCATACCAGCAAAGTCACAAGATCCTACTTTCTGCCACGGCAGCTTCTTTCCTTCCAACCATCTGACTGTACATTTAACAATTCCACTTAGCTGTAACAGCAATCATAGCAATGGTTAACATTTCTATAATGCTTTGATCCTCACAACAAACCTGGGAGGTAGGTACTATTATGATCCCCATTTTACAGATGAGGAAACTGAGGCAGACAGAAGTTATGACTTGCCCAGGGTCACACAGCTAGTAAGAGTGTCTGAGGCAGGATTTGAGCTCAGGTCTTCCTGATGAAGCTTGACTCTGGATCCAGGGCTGTATCTATGGTGCCTCTGCACGTAATTTGAATTTGCTCACTATGTTTTTCTTTGTTCTTTGTTCACGCAGTTTTGTTCAATCAACAAGTTTTTATTAAGGACCTACTATGTGCCAGGCATTGTGCTATGTGCTGGGGATATCAGTACAAAGAATGAAATAATCCCTATTCATAAAGAGTTTATATTATTCATGTGTAATAGTAAAATACTACCTTGTTCATGTACTTTTAAAAGGGTAATCATACCTTACACATGCATACTTATGTCTTCCAACTGGTTGCAGACTCTTCAAGGTTAAGTCCCATATCTACTGTTTATTTGGGTCTTTGATACTGTCTAGTGATGCTCTACACACTCTGAGAACTTAATGAATCTTGATTATGATGACTTGGCAGCATTATTATATAGCTACTATTGTTCCACATGGACCGCATGGAGATAGCTATTGTGTATAATTGTGTGTATCTATATAGTCATTGTGTAGTTACCATTGCCACTGGTTCTCCCAAAGACTCCCATTTAAAGGACATCACTAGCCTTCTTTGACTTCATTTCAAAGAAACTAGGGGGCGCCATAGTGCATAGAGTGCTGGACTCGGAGTCAGGAAAACCTGAGTTCAAATCCAGCTTCAGACACTTAGCAGCTGTATAACCCTAGGCTTCACTTACCCTCTATTTGCCTCAGTTTTCTCATCTCTAAAATGAGGGTAATAATAGCACCCACCTTTCAGAGTCGCAAAGATCAAATTAGAAAACAATTAGAAAGTACTTAGCACAGTGTGTTCAGTCATTTGCAGTCTTGTCTGACTCTTTGTTACCCCATTTGGGGTTTTCTTGGCAGATACTGCAGTACTTTGCTATTTCCTTCTCCAACTCATTTTACAGATGAGGAAACAGGGGGAAGTAACTTGCCCAGAGTCACACAGTTATTTAGTGTCTCAGGCCAGATTTGAACTCAGGAAGATGAGTCTTCCTGACTGCAGGCCTGGTACTTTATCCACTGCACGACCTAGTTGCCCTACTTAGCACAATATTTGCACATATTAAGCACTCCATAAATATTAGCTTTAATTATTGTTTTATCATCATCATCATCAGACATTTAATGAGCACCTACTGTGTATAAGACACAATTTAATCAATCACTTAAGGCAAAAGTATTTGGAAAATGGCTAGGAGCAATGGGGGGAAATTCAAAAAGGCAAATTTAGGGGTCGGGAACCAAGAAGGCAACCCCAAAGTAGAATGAGCTGCTTCAGGAGATAATGGGCTTCTTCTCACTGGATATGCCCAAGCAAAGGCTGGATGATCACGTGGTGGGTATGTCACAGACAGGATGCTCGTTCAGATATGAGTTAGACTACGTGGTCATTAAGGAGGTATTGTGATCTGCAAGAGGTACATCCTAGCATTGTGATGCTCTCAGAAGAAATCACGCTTCAGTAACAAATAATCTTTCTAGAAAGAAAGTAATTATCATTCATATTCTGATTCCTCTTCTCCCTCAGCCAGATAGTGTGACGGCTACAAAATTGTCTCAGGAAAAAAAATGCTGGCCCTGAGATTTTTCAGAGCCAAATTGAGTTAATGTCTTCTAATCTGTTTTTCCATCTATAAAACAGTGACAATGATACTCACACCACCCACCTCACGGGATTTTGCTGTCAGAAAAGTTCTCTGTACTTTGCACACAACCTTACTCTCTTAGACATCTCCAAAGGGAAAGCCCTATGTTTTATAACGAGTTGTTATTATGATTAATTATGTTTTGAAGCTAAGTCTTATCAGTCTTGCCACTCACTAAGGAAAAGCAAAACAAGAAACTCTTGAAAGTTATTGTGAAATTTCTTTTCATTCATTTGAAAACATTTTGAGGAGAAGCAGTGGTTTGGTAGTTTTTTTTATGACAAGAACAAAATTATAAGCCGCCGCACCTGGGCCAATCATTTGGATAAAGCAATAGGTCTGTTTAAATATGGGACTAAAACTGAGACAGCATAAAGTAGCAGAAATAGTAGAGGGGTAAAGGGCAAAGCTGAGTGCAAGGCCAAGTACTTCCATGGGACAACGCTGCAACCTCTAGCATGCCTTTCCCCCTTTCTAGACTTCTGTTTTTTCCTCTGTGATAACAATAAAGATATTTAAAGCTAGCATTTATACAGCACTTTAAGGCCCACAAATCACTTTATAAATATCTCATTTTATCCCTGCAACAAGTCTGGAAGGTAGGTGTAATTTATCATTCCTATTTTACAGATTGGGAAACTGAAACAGAGAGAGACTAACTTGTCCAGGGTCACACAGCTAAGAAGTGTTTGAAGCCAGATTTGAACTCAGATCTTCCTGAGTCCAGGTCTAACTCTCTATCCACTACACTGTCTCTAAAATAATAGGGGTGGGGGCAGCTAGGTGGCGCAATAGATAGAGTACTGGCCCTGAAGTCAGGAGGACCTGAGTTCAAATCTGGGCCTCAGACCAAACACTTGACACTTACTAGCTGTGTGACCTTGGGCAAGTTACTTAACCCCAATTGCCTAATAAAATAAAATAAAATAAAATAATAGGAATGGACTAAGAGATGACATGTTATGGTCTTTCTTGTTTTAGCATGCATGCTTGTTGGATTAAATCCTATGAGACTTTGGTTAATCCCTCTCATATTGGTGTCTTCCAGATTTCTTGGCATTGCGTGGAGGTGACTGCTGGACCTACCATTACTCTGAAAGGCCCATGCCCTGGGCCAAGGCAAGAAACTACTGCCAGACAAGTTATACAGATTTAGTAGCGATACAAAACAAGGCAGAAATTGTGTACCTGAATGCCACCCTTCCTCTAAGTCGTACTTACTACTGGATTGGGATCCGGAAAATAGGAGGCATATGGACTTGGGTGGGAACAAATAAGCCACTCACTGAAGAAGCAGAGAACTGGGGCACGGGGGAGCCTAACAACAAAAAATCCAAGGAGGATTGTGTAGAGATCTACATCAAGAGGCAGCAAGATGCAGGCAAATGGAATGATGATTCGTGCTTGAAGCCCAAGGTTGCACTGTGCTACCAAGGTATGGAAGCAGCCACCTTTGTGGTCTTTTACTCCATAGCTCCCAAGGTAGGAACGGGCTGAGTCTAGCAGAGCAATTGAACTAGCCCAGGACGTTTTAAGGAAACAGGAGACAATTCAGTACAAGTCGTGAGGCTTTTTCTGCATTCCAAGACAGCCCCCCTCCTAGCTCCGTCTTGGGAATATTTGAACTGTGCAGAGTAAAACTTGAATCATCATGTTTCTGGCTGTTTCTGATCTTAGAGGATATGTGCACATTTGCACAAACTTTGTCTCTAAGCAGCCAAGAAAAAGATCTAAAATGAACTGCAGCAAGATGTGAAGGAGGCTAGGGGATGAGGAGGGGAAAGGTCACTTTCCCTAAAAACAGGACCTAGAAACGGAAACTTAAAAGCAGAAAGAGTGAGCAAGTCAATAGTTTAATCTAAAAATCAGGAAACATTCCAAATCATCCTCAGTAGCCCTCCCTAGCAAATAATTATTTTCCTGAACCAATTGGAGGTAGTCAGAATTTCCCAAATAGGTATTTGGTGAACAACAATTAATCTGGACCAGAGGTATAACTAGGCTGGGGTAACTGAGGCTTTACTCCAAGGTGCTGAAATTTAGAGGGAACCAGAAGCACCACCCGGGGGGGGTGCTTCCTTCCCACAGGTAGCCACATTCTGAGTAAGCTAATCCCAGATACAAAAATTCCTAGTTGTGGCTGTAGTTTGGATGCCATCAATTTGGGACTGGTTGTAATTTTAGGTGGGTTGGGCTGAAAGTTGCTTTGCAGTATCTATGAAGAAATGGATTGCCAAATGATTGAGCAATAAACATGAAGCTCCATGGGAGCATTTTTTAAAAAATCTGTGTATCTTTTTAAATCCAATCATGTAAAAACTATATTAAGACTTCAACCCATTGCATGCAAATGAATGGTAATAATTATAGAGGAGCTTATCTATGAAAGTAGGTTGTCATAGAGATTTATATAATGTTACTATTATGACCTTGAGTAATCTACTTTACTTCTCCGGGCCTGAGTTTTTTCTTTCATAAAATAAGTGGGCTGGATTCTGATGGTCCCTAAGGGCCTTGCTAGCACAGCATTATAGGATTCTACTTAATCTTAATGGTTATATGGACTCAAAAAGACTTAAATTTATTTTTCCTGACTTTCTTAAAGCTTCCTGTCAGCCTTTATCCTGTAGTGGTCATGGAGAATGTATAGAAACCATCAATAATTACACCTGCAAATGTGATTTGGGATACTATGGCCCCCAATGTGAGAATGGTAAGGTCTCATCCTTTTTTTTCCTTGGTTTTGTCCAGTCTGGGAATAAAGTTATGAAGGGAGTTGTTATTGTTTGCCTGAGCTGCTTCGCATAGTCACAAAAGACATTCTGAGAAGCAGGAAGTTTCAGTAAGAAGGCTGCCCCTTTTGCAATACTTTTCTTTTTCTGTAAAGATTTCATAAGTCACCATCATGTGTCAGGAGAACTTTACTAATCAGGAAGCAACCATATCATCCACCATTGAGAGACACACCCAGTCAGAGGAAACAATCATCTTGTCAACCTTAGTTTTTTATACATCTCCAATGGGAAGGCCAAGAAAATAGTGAAGGAAACTCATGTAGGTACACAAGGGAAAAGCTACAGGTTTCTATGACTTTAGTGATAGAATCCTCCCAGAGGTGCCCTGTAAGGGGCTATATTGGACAGGTAGTCCAATAACCTCATCAGGTGAAGGACTTTGCCTGAAGTCACATAGCTCATGAGATACTGAACATCAGTATCCTCTTTGGGGCATCCCTATTTCCTATAATATAAAGGAGTTGCATTAAATGAACTCTAATATTTCTTCTAGTTAGCCTAGATTCCATGATCCTATACTGTAAAAAAAAAAAAAAAACTTTCAGTCTCTTCCTCCATAAGATGACGAAGCTGAACAAGATGATTTCAAAGGTGATTTTTTTTCCTACCTCTGAAATTCTATGATTATGTAGTTCTCCAGGTGAGGACACAGTAGAACAGGAAGGAACTGGCTACTCCTTTCTCTATTTCATCTGTGTTGTAATTTACCCTTCACTTGTGTGCTGCTTCTGATGATAGAAGAGGCCCTTTCTTTCATTATTCAGGGCCTACTAGAATACCATAAAAAGAAGCTGAGAGGCAGTGTTGCCTAGTGGCTAGATAGCCAGCCTTGGAGTCAGGAAGAACTGGGCTTAAGTCATCTCTCTGACACATGCTGGCTAGATAATCCTGGGGGCACCTCTAAGTGCCCTCCTCTCTGCCCCCAGCAGCTCTCTGAGACTATAAATTGAAGATTAGGTGCTGATCTGCATTGACAGATGGGGTTTCCACACTGGGAGTTCCTTTTGCCAATGGGATAGCAAGTCTGATTCCCATCCTTCCATTCTTCCCCTTTCCCCTCCAAAGGGAGATGCTAATAGATTAACTTGCTAGCTAGCTGTTTCTGGAGTTGGCCACTTCCAAGAAAACACATTTGGATCCAGGAAAGTTCGCCACCAGATAATGCCTATGTTTCTTTTCTCATTGAAGTGATTCAGTGTGAGCCTTTAAGGGCACCGGACCTTGGAAGGATGAACTGTACCCATCCAATAAAGGACTTCAGCTTCAGGTCCATATGTACATTTAGCTGCTTGGAAGGAAGATACTTAGTAGGTGCTGAGGATACAACCTGTGAGGCATCTGGGAACTGGTCATCCCTCCAGCCAGTGTGTCAAGGTAGGTCACTTTGCCCTGATGTACTCTGATCTTCCATGATCTCTCTGACCTTTGCAACTGCTTCACAAACCCCATTAAACAAACCAGCCAACCCTCCTGCATCCCCCATGAGTATCTCATGTAACCCTGGAGGAGTCAGGAGATGAAGGTATTAAAATCTGCTTCTGCCAGCAATGGTATGAGCTTGGACAAATTACTTTCTTTTTCTGGGGCTTGCTTTCTTAATCAATAAAATGAGGACATTAGTGCAGGCGGTCTCTCTAAGGTCCTTTACAGCTCTAATATTCTATGATACTGCAGTTCTTGAGACTTACCTCCACTGGCAAAGGACTTGATGTGAATCAGACTCTGTTCTCTGTTCTATAACAAAGTCCTCTCTGTCAAGGAAAACTAGTACCAACCTGTTCACTCATAGAATAACAAAATCTTTGGTTCAGAGTTGGGTTGTGCTTCAAAAACAGCTTTTTAAAAACTTGGTACTCATGAGATAAAATTATCGCAAGAAATGAAATGATGTTTGGAAAAAATTCACGGAGGAAGAATGATGAAGTTCATTTGTAAAACCAATCAATTGGAATAAGAAATAGAAAGGCTCCTATAGCACATAATAATGACTAGCATTTATATACCACTTTTAAGGTTTGCGAAGCACTTCGCAAGTATTATCTCATCTTATCTTCACAACAACCTTGGGAAGAGGGTAAAAATCTATAAAATGAGGATAATAGGAATATTAATATTAGTTAATATTAGTAGGAATATTATCCTCATTTTACAGATGAGGGAACTGAGGGTAAGTGACCTGCTCAGGGTCACAGAGCTTGAGTGTCTGGGGCCACATTTGAACTCAGGTCTTCCTGATTCCAAGTCTGGAACCTGATCTACTACTACATCACCCACTTGTCTTAGGTCAGCACATCAAAATTCATTTTAGGGCTAGATCACTTAGACTAACCTCTTCATTTTATGGCTAGAGAAACTGAGTTGCTAAGAGACTGAATGACTTGCCCAAGGTCAAATGGTACCTCATTGGGTCTTCTGTTCTTTTCCTTGATGATAAGTATGATGCTGGTTACAAAGCATTCGTTTGACAACTATTCAACAGGTATTTATTGAAAGTCTACTGTGCGCAATTCATTGTGCTAAGCAGTATGTAAGCAGTAAGTGAAGGCTACCCCTTGTTCCTCCACATACAAATAGAAGCTTTCCCTTGTATCAAATAAGCATAATCAAGCAAAGCAAGTCAATACAGTGACCATGGATGACGATGGATGTCTCATTCGACATCTCTACTCCGTCACCTCTCTGCAATAGTTCTCATTATTGGGGAGTTTTTCCTTCCATTAAGAATAAATCCACCTCTCTGTAAATCCTGCTTCCTGGGCCTTCTTTCAGGTGACAAGCCTACCTTCAAGTACTTGTCTTTGTATTCCTAGTGCCCTGTTTGGTGCCTTGTACATAGTAAGCAATAAACAAATGCTTTTCCAGTTGCCTTACTGATCAGAACAGTTACTACCTTGTGCCTCACCAAACTTTCTCTTCCTCAAATTTAGGTTCATTCCCTGTGGGTCTGTCATTAATGGAGATGTGAGAGAGCAGAGAACAGTCCAGTTTGACTGGAGCATAGAATTCATGGAGAGAAATAATGGTGGCAGATTGTGGAGGGCCTTAGATCCCAGACATTTTTGAGCTGTGATGATAGCAGCAGAACTGGTGTAATTGAAAGGTGCTGGATTTGGCACCAGAGGATCTAGTTTTAAATCCTAACTCAGTTATACTATTTGTGAGATCTTGAGAAGTTATTCAACCTCTCTGGGCCTCACTTTCCCTATGGGTAAATGAGGGGATTGGACCAGATGACCTCTAAGTTTCTTCCTCTAAACCTAAGTATACTAAGGACATGATCAGATCTATGCATGAAAATGTGTCTAGGAATGGAATGAAGCATAGATTAGAAAAGAGAAGGGAATGAATCCAGTGGAAAGACATATGAAATTATCACAATAGCCCAGGTGTGTGTTAATGAGGGCTTATATGATGGTAGTGGAAATAGAGAGGAGAGGACAGATATTATAGAGAAGGAATTGATGAGATCTAATTGGCTATTAAAAGTTAAGAAAGAAAGAGGAATAGAAGGTAATACTAAGGTTAGGGACACAAGAAATGAGTAGTGGTGCCACAAAAGGAAATTGATAGTAAATGCAGAGAGATAAATAGAGCATTTTCATACATTTACTATGTGCCAGACACTGTGCTAATCTCTGGAAATACAAATACAAGCAAAAAGAAAGCATCCCTGCCCCATAGGAGCATACATTTTAATGAGGAAAGATAATACAAAAAAGAAAGTAGAAAAAGTTGGGGAAGGGTAGAGAAATGGTTCCAGAAGTCATAGGCTAAATCGGTTCTGAAGTGAACATGGCTGGCATGGTGTTCCTTAAATGGAGGTTCCAAGAAAAACTCACCAATTAGAGAAGAAGGCCACAAGGGTGGAAACGTTACCACCATGAGACGGCCACTAGGGTCTGGAAAGTTATCCAGGGAGTCATGGGCTGGGTCAGGTTTGAAGAAGGAGTAGATTGAAGGGGGAAAATGCCAAAGATGATAGATTTAGCAAAACAAAGATAACTCTAAAAATGGCGCACATGTTTCCTTCTTTTTGAAGCGACTCAGTGTAAGCCTTTAATGGCTCCAGAACATGGAATGATGGAATGCATTCACCCCCTGGAAGAATTCAGCTTTACCTCCAAATGCACATTTAGCTGCTTAGAAAAGATGGTATTAACAGGTGCTGAGGAAGCTACATGTGAAGCATCTGGAACTTGGTCATCTCCAACGCCGACATGTCAAGGTGGGTAACATTTTAGCATGAATGGGCTTCATTAATCCAGTAAGTACCATGTCTAAGCAATGGGAAAAGGACTATGAACTGACTAGAACTCTACCTGTTCTCAAAGGGAATTTTGCATGCAGAAGGTCCACTTTTGGGCTCCTTGGTCATAGACACCAAGAGCAGCTGTACTGTATGGTATCTTTGTACTTCTATTATACTTTTCTCCAGCAGCCCATCATATGAGCTTTAGTTGTTTAATTAGTCAACAAACATTTATTGAGGCCTTGATGTGTTAGCCAGGTATTGGGTTAAGCACCGAGGATATTAAGAAAAACACAAACAGTCCTTCCCTTCAAGGAATTCACCTTCTAATGGGGGAGACAATATAAATAACTAGGGGCATACAAGATATAATCAGAATAGAGATAAGGTAATCTGACCCAGGAATAATAATAACAACTAGAATTTCTATAACATTGTAAGGTTTACAAAATGTTTTACAACTATTATATTATTCTCACATCAACTCTGGGAGGTAGGTACTATTATTATCACCATTTTATAGATGAGGAAACTGAAGAAAACAGAGAGAACATAACTTGCTTAGGGTCACACAACTAGTGTCTGAGGCTGGATTTGAACTTGGGTCTTCCAAGTTCAGTGTTCTATCCATTGTGCCACCTACCTGCCTACCTGCTGAGATAAAAGGAATGACTCAGATGATGTCATCAGGATATAGATGCCACTGATATTATGGTGTAAATTCATCACCATCATCTCCAGGTCTCCTCTCTACTAACCTAACTGCCCTTCTTTGGACATTCCACAGCCTCTCACTGTCCTGCCATAAAGAATAATGCCAATATGACCTGACCAAGGTAGAGTATAGCAGATTGATGGACAGCAAAGAGTTAAAAGATAAGGAGACCAAATGTGGGCAATGATGATACCATTAACAGCAATGGAGAAGTAAGGAGAAACAGGATTTTTTTTTTGTGGGGGTGGGGGGGTAGGGATGCCAAAGGGGAGTTTAGACGTGTTAAGTTTGAGGTGTTAACAGGACATCTATGTTTGAGCTTTCCAGTAGTTGAGAGATTCATGATTTTGTAGGTGTGAGTCCAAACAATCAATAAACATTTATTAAGTGCTCACTATGTGCTAGTCAATGCTCCAAGAAATGGGGATACAGAGAAAAAGCAAAAATGGTTCTTGCCTTCAAAGAGCTTACATTTTAGTGGAAAATACATCATATATATAAATTAGTGTATACAAGATAAATGCAGAGTAAATAGTCTTAGAAGAAAAGGCATTAGAAATTAAGAGGAAGGGGTGGGTGGGAGGAAAAAGACTGAAGCAAAGTCAGATAATTTAAGAGTGAGAGGTTGGGAAGGAGATCATTCCCTCCATTGTCACAGATGGCAAACATTCTATGATAACAGATGCTGTTTGAAAGTTGCTATGGTAGAAGATTTCATTGCTCTACAATTTGCTGACAACAACTACAAATTCAGTTAGACTGGTCCTTGGACAACATATGCAGAGTCTATCCTGGACTCACATCAAAAGCTTTTTCATCATGGAAGGACCTACTAGAGCTTGTGTTTCCCTAGTACATCATTCTATATATATTGAGGAATCACAGTATGACTTTAGTGGAGGGTATATCCAATAAGTAATGTTAAGTCCAGAGCTTATGAGTAAGATTGTTGATGGACATTCAGATTTAGGAGTGATCAATATAGAGATGATAATTAAAGTTGTGGGACTGAATAAGATCACCAAGGGGGAAGTCACCATGAGAAACAAAGAGGGCCAAGAGTAGAGCCTTGGGTGGGATGTACAGGGTGGAATGAGAGGAGATAGAATCATTGAAGAAAGCAGAGAAAGCTATCATAAAGGTAGCAAGTAAACCAGGTGAGTTTAATGTTATGAAAGCCGATGAAGAAATTAATATTTGCAAGTCAACAGTGTCAAAATATGAAGAAGGATGAGGACAGAGAAGGTGCCACTGGATTGGGTAAAGATGAATTTAAATGAGTTAAATGTGGTACATAGGTATCTATGAGGCAGAGATTTCAAAGTAGTCTCTAGAAAAAATAAAAGGGTTTGAATTTGACCAAGAAAGTAAAGACATACACTGGGGCAGAAGCCCAGCTTTCTGTTGTAGTGTTTCCCTCACCAAGGTGTTTTTCTTCTCCTGACTATAGAATAGTCCTTTTTCCTGTTCTCCTAATGGGGGTAAATGTTAGGGAATGAATAACAATGGGGTGGGGTAAGCAGTATGAAAAAGTTATTGGAAGGATTTAGGGTCAGAGAGCTGGAACTGGAAGGGACCTCAAAGGTCATGTGGTCCAACTTCCTCATTTTTATAGATAAAGAAACAGGTTAAGTAAATTTCAAATTTGCTCTGGGCAATTCTATATTGAAACCTATAAATCATGGAGAATCTCTGCCAGATGACGCATGTGCTTTCTTTTTTTGTTGCAGGGACTCACTGTGAGCCTTTGATGACACCAGAATGGGGAATCATGAACTGTACTCACCCCCTGGGACATTTCCATTTTAGCTCTAAGTGTATATTCCGCTGCTTAGAGGGAACGTCCTTAATAGGTGCTGCAGAAACGACATGTGAAACATCCGGAAACTGGTCATCTCCAGAGCCAATATGTGAAGGCAAGTCCCTTTGCTTAGATGTAACTAGTGACTACGTGCGGGACAATATGGATGAGTAGACATTGAAGAAGTATGTATTGATTACAACTCTGAGTGGTCAACCCTGGTCGACTTCTCATCTTTAGCATCTGCAGGGCTTCCTTTATACCGGATGCTTTGATAGATGTGTTCTACGTCCACGCTATACTTTTCTTTGACCTTAGCATTCCATGACCTGTCTTTGTGCTTCTTTCAGGGCTGGAATGTGTTTTGCCTCTTGAAATTCTTCATTTTCTTCCATGTGAAGCTCCTGCATTATCTACAATGGGAAGGATTTGTTTTCCTTTTCTGATTTCCTAAGTTGTTAATTTCTCCTCAAATAAGCCAGTCTACATTTACCTGTTCACACACTGTAACTTCTTAGAAGAATGGAAACTCCTTGACAGGAGAGACGGCCTTATTTTTGTTGTATTTGTATCATTAGTGCTTAGCACTTTTTTTTGTTTGTTTGTTTTACACATAGCAGGTACTTAATGTTTTGGGGGTAAATTTGTGTTATTTGACTATATAGTGATAATTTCATCTTCCTTCACTTGTTGGCAGTTCCAGATATCCCTTTCTGACAATTTTCTTTGGCCAAGCCTGTCTTTCTCCTCTCCTCACTATTTCTGGAACTTTGTAATCGCTTTGGAATCTTTTGAAAAAAAAAACAAAAAACACATCACCATTTCCTACCTGGCCTCCTCCACCTCCTCCTCCACCTCTGCCTCCTCTTCCTCTTTTTATTACATCATCATTAAAATTATTCTTCTTTTTTGTTTTTGTTTTTTGTTTTGTTTTGTTTTAGGCAATTGGGGTTAAATGACTTGCCCAGGGTCACACAGCTAGTAAGTGTCAAGTGTTTGGTTTAAGACCAGATTTGAACTCAGATCCTCCTGACTTCAGGGCCAGTGCTCTATCCACTGCGCTACCTAGCTGCCACCCCTTTTTTAGTTTTGGGTTTTTTTTTTGCATTTCCACTATCTACACAATTCTTTTTTTTAATTCTTTTTTGGCTAGGCAGTGGGGTTAAGTGACTTGCCCAGAGTCATACAGCTAGCAAGTGTTATATGTCTGAAGCCGGATTTGAACTCAGGTCCTCTGGAATCCAGGGTCAGTGCTCTATCCACTGTGCCACCTGGCTGCCCCTTTTCTCTTTTTTTTTTAAAGTCCCTTTGACTTTCTCTAGTTGCCAATGCAACAACCTATGGAAACTTGAATTAATGGGGATCAAAAAGCCAAAAGTGATGGGAAGTGAATGAAGTGTCCCTTGACTGGTTGCCTGACTTCTTTTAGACCCAACTTAATATCTTTCAGTCCCTAATGACCCGGGTGTGTTAACTTACAGGGCTTATATTATAATAACAGAACCTTTCATTTTCTTTGGACGCTTGGTTGCATCTGAGGCCACGTACATTGCCCCATTGCCCTTCACGCCCTTGACTCCCAATTCTGATGCAATGCTGTGATGGCATAGAGAAACCACCAAGCATCCTTGTGTGAAATACCAAGACAATATCTCTTCCAGGAATCCCTAGAAAAGAACTCTCTTGGAAAGGCTAGTGTTTCATGGGTCACAGGCTAAAAACCCATTGATCTAGGCAAAGAATAGTTTGGATTGGTAAGTCTGACTCCTTGTCTTGCCTCTTTCATGGAGTCCCAAGTGTCATCAGACAGATTTAGTTTCCTCATCTATCATATGGAGGCAAGGTAGGAAATACATCCTCTATGTATCCGATGAACTCTGTTATAAAGCATCAAAAGTCTCCAAAATGGGAACAAGGGAAACATGATGTGCTATAGATGAATGTGAATTTAGAGATAAAGGGACTTTAGACATCATTTAATATTTAGACATGAGTGTTTATACCACCAAGGGAGAATATGATCACTGTATCATGTGTGTCCTGTTATTTTCTCTTTTAGGGTCAAGAAATATTCTATCACCCATCAGAAAGGGTCACTACAATCCTATCTTCATCCCTCTGGGGACTCTAGTGACTTCTTTCTGTGGGGTTGTATTTATCATTTTGCTGGCAAGGAAGCTGAAGAAAGGTAAGAGAATTTAATCTTCTACATGGAAATTAGAAAGGATTATGGAAACACAGAAAGAAAGTAAAAATATCAAAATTAATATTATTTCTAATTTCTTCCATATTGATTCTACAATGTTATTGATTCATACTAATTTTATAATTGTGTCTGCATCTCTTAAAGCCAGCTTGCTCTGAGTTAGTTTAAAGGTATAATTAACAGAAAAACTGTTATTTATCATATCTTATCTTTAAAGGCATACAAGCTATTGTGGCATATTCCTACAAGAAATATTCATTCTTGCCTATCCTTGTATAATTAAGGAGGGTCTTATCTCCTTAACAAACCCTAGGCACCAGAGAGTCTGCTAACAAGGTCTGCCAGATGCAGATGGGTCCCATAAAACAATTAACATTCCTTAATTGTCAGAGAAGGGTGGTTACTAGCCCCATATAGGTGCTAGCCCATTTTCTTTAAAATAACCAATCATGTCGTCTCCACTCCCAAGACGTTGTTTACCCTGTAACTAATTGCATTGTCTTCTTCACCTACCCAACTTGTACTCCCCCAAATTATATTAAGGCTGGTGAGCCCTACCTTGGGGTCTTTGGTCATTAAGATAGGCCATTGACCCAATTTATTGGTTACTGCTATCCTAACTAATAAATTGATCATGCTCAGATCATTCTCTCTAAGTTTACCTTAATTTTCAAATGCAACAGAAGAAAACACATAAACTCTCAGGAAACTGAACACAATGGATTCAGATAAAGTCTCAACTGAGAAATACACATAGCTCCAGGTTCTGTAAAGATCAGTTGTTCTTAGAAATAGTTAGAACTTCAAGTGCTCTGTCCCCATGCTCATAATTTTTAGAACCAGTCAACTGCATGATGCAATTTATTTAATGTATATCTTGTGCAAATTCTGGATGGAAAATACACAATCCTAGAACTTTCTTTCCTGCATTTTCATGCTGAGAATCCATTGAGATTAGATTCAACTTAACAAAAATTAATTAGGGGCCTACTATAGGAAATGTGTTAGGTGAGGTATTAGGAGATACAAAGATAAAACAAGAAACAGTTCCTTGCTTCGTGGAGGTTATTGGAGGAAAGAACAATTTCAAATATCAATATTTGATATTGGAATAATCAATAGTATTATTAGTAGGTATAGGGACAAAGACTAAACCTGTGATTACTTTGGCATAAGAAACTCCTTTTGTAGGGGCAGACAGGTGGCTCAGTGGATAGAGTACTGGCCTTGAAGTCAGGAGGACCTGAGTTCAAATTCGGCCCCAGACCAAACTCTTGACACTTACTAGTTGTGTGACCCTGGGCAAGTCACTTAACTCCAACTGCCTAAAAAATAATAATAAAATAAAAATTTGTTTAAAAAAAAAAAGAAACTCCTTTTGCCAATGCAGGGAGCGAAATCTCTGCCTATAGCATCAAGCTATGATTTGTTCAAGGTCACATGGCCAATCTTGTCAATGATGGGATTTGCATCTGGATTTTCTTGGCTTTAAGGTAAACTTTCCATCCCCCACACCTGAGGTATTAAATATGAGACCAGTTGGCTACATGTGGTCCATAATACTCCTGAGCATGGTCCAAACCATATTAAAATGTAACTGAAAACATTTAAAATAAATAGAAATACAATAAAACATAATTTTAAATTAACATTTAAACATTTAAAATAAAACAAACATTTTAAAACTAAGTCAATAGGTGGTTCACAGTGATCCTTATGTACGGATTACTGGCCTCATTTCTATCAGAGCTTGACATCACTGCCTCATACTATGCTACTTTTCTAAGTATACAGGAAAAATCTAAAACAAAATGGTTTAACAAATTCTAAAGGCATTGATTCATTATGATATGGTAAACAGAGTAATGGAACCAGAGTCAAAAGATGTGAGGTTGAATCCCAGCTCTGCCATTTATTAACTATGTGAACTTGGGCAATCAATCAATAAACAAGCATTTATTAAGGACCTACTATGTGCCAGGTACTAGGGATACAAAAAAAAAAAGTGAAACAGTCTTTGTCCTCAAAGAGATTACATTCTACTGGGGAAGAAATTGTGCCAATATATAGTTAAATATAAAATAGGTACAAGGTGATTTTTTTTGAGATGGATGACATTAACAGCACAGAGAATTAGGAAACATCTCATGGACAGGATGGCACTTGAACTGAGAATTGAAGAATAGAGATTCTGAGAAGTGAAAGTGAGAGAGGAATGCACACCTGTCATTGGGCACGGACAGTGAAAAGGCAAAGAGACAGTAAATGGGGTGTCTGTGTGAGGAACAATAATGCAGTTTTGATTGGACCATTGGATATATGAAGGGCCACAATGTAAAAGAATGCTGGGGAGGTAAGTTGGAACAAAGTTGTGAAGGGCTTCAAAAGTCCAACAGAAGAGTTTATATTTGATCCTGTAGGCAATGGGGAACCACTACAGTTTTCTGAGGAGGAGAGTAACATGGTCCAAACTTTCTTTGCGACAATCACATTGGCAGTTGTGTGGTGAATGGATTGGCATGGGGAGAGGTCTCAGGAAAGGCTGCTAATTATGAGGCTATTACAATAATTTACGTGAGAGGTGTCAAAGGTCTGAACTAAGCTGGTGGTATGTGGATGGAGGGATAAGGACAGATGTAAGTCATATTGTAGAGGTAGAAATAACAAGCTTTGGCAACTGATTAGATATGTGGGATGAGTGAAGATAAGGAGTTGAGTCTGACATCAAGGTTATGAACTTGGGTGAATGGAGAGATAGTGATACCCTTAATACAGGTAGAGAAGCTGGGAGGATGGTGAGTTTGAAATGACCACTATTTGGTTCTAATTTAGACATATGAGGTTCAGAGGCCTATAGGACAGTTAGTTTGAAGAATGCAGTAGGAACTTTTTTGGTCCCAGTTGAGATCAGAGAGCCTAAGTTGGGTGTGGTACTGAAGATCAGGAAAGAATCTGGGGTGAATCTACCAATATGGGAGTCATCTGCATGTAACTAAATACATACGGGCTGATAAGGTCACCAAGTGAGAGACTAGAAATAGAAGAGAAGGGAGAGTAGGAGAGACCCTTTAGGGTAAATTCACAGTTAAGGATAGGAATGTTATACAGACAACAAAGGAGTGATCAGATGGGTAGGAGGGGAACCAAGAGAAAGCAGCGTCCAAAATCTCAGTGTAGAAAATGTATTTAGGAGAAGAAGGTAGTTAACAGTGTCCAATACTGCAGAGAGGTCAGCAAGGAGATGATTGAGAAATGATCATTAGATTTGATGATGAAGAGATCATTAGTAAGAGTTGAGTGATGAGATCAGAAGCCAGAGAGATTGCTAGGGGGTTGAGAGGTGAGAGGGAGGAGAGGAAGTAGAAGCAATGATTGCATAGTAGATAGCTTTTTTTAGGAGTTTGAGAAAGAGAGGAGAAGATACAGAACTGTGGCTAGATGGCTTAGTGAAGTTTTTTAAAAAAAATTTTTTAGGCAAGTGAAACACGGGCACGTTTGAAAGTGGTAGGGAAGGAATCAGTAGATAGGGAGAGATTAAAGATTGGAGAGAGAGGTGATTATTGTGGAAGAAATCGACTGGAGAAGGCAGAAGGGAAGGGATCAAGGGTATATACCACTAGATCTAATCTAAGAGCTTAAAAGTTCCAGGTCAGAAATCCAGCAATAGTGCACTTTGACAATACTTTCTAACCTTTCCTAATTGCTCTAGCATATGGTGGCCCTAACAAATTAATGTAATCTTTGGCTTAATCTGGAGTTTATTAAGGACCTATTCATGTAGGAAAATTCCTTAACATCTGATTTATACTTTATGAATATATTCAGGCCTGGGTGAGAGAGAGAGCTCAATTGAGATTAGAGAGCCTGAATTGCAATACACCCAATCATCAGGTTTTCATTACTTTCTCTAGCAGTCCTCAGGGGCTCCACATCAGGAGCAAACATCATGGATGGTGGAGGTTACCTCGTATTGAGGATTATCAGGGCTAAGGACAAGAGGGCAAGGAATTGATTAATGGAAGAGAGAACAAACTTGAAATGGCCAACCATTTCAGTTCAATTGAATAAACATTTTTTAAGTGCCTACTATGTTCCAGGTGCTGTGTTAAGCACTAGGGACATAAAAAGAGGCAAAAGACAGTTTCTGTCCTCAAAGAGTTTATAATCTGATAGGGGAGACAATGTACAAACAAATATACGAAACAAATTATATACAGGATGAATACAGAATAATTAATGGAATGCAGGCCAATGGAATTAAGAGGGGTTGGGGAAGGCTTCCTCTAGGAGGTGGGATTTTAGTTGGGACTTAAAGAAAGCCAGAAATGTCAGTAGTCGGGGTGGAGGAAGGAGAGTGTTCCAGGCATGGGAGACAGCCAGAGAGAATGTTCCAAGCTGAGAGATGGAGTGTCTTGTTTGTGGATCAACCAGGAGGCCAGCGTCACTGGATCAAAGAGTATATGTTGGGGGAAAAGATGGAAAAAGACTGGAAAAGTAGGAGGCAGTTAGGTTATAAAAGGCTTTGTTATGTATTGGTTCTTAGACACAGCAGGAAACCACTGGAGTTTATTGAGTAGGAGGGCTTGACGTGATCAGACCTGTATTTTAGGTGTATTTTATATCAGACTTGTATTTTACTTTAGTGACTGAATGGAGGCTAGATTGGAGAGGGGAGAGATTTAGGGCAGGCAGACACACCAGCAGCCTGTTGCAATAGTCTATGTGTGAGGTGATGAGGGCCTGTACCAGAGTGGTGGCTGGGTCAGAGGAGAGAAGGCATATTGAGGCGATATTGCAAAGGTGAATCAGTAGGCCTTGGCAATAGTTTGGATATGGGAAGTTAGAGATAGTGAGGAGTCCAGGGTGCCTCCTAGGTTGTGAGCCTAAAGGACTGGGAGGATAATGTTGCCCTCTATGGTAATAGGGAAGGTAGCAGGTTTGGGGCAGGGTGTTAGGGGGAAAGATAATGAGTTCTATTTTGG